GAGAGGGAGGAGGGAAGGGGGATTGAGGGGGAGACGGAGGGATGGATGGAGGGATTAGGGAGGGAAGGAAGGAGTCAAGGATGTTAAGGAAGGGAATTGAGGAGGAGGGAGGGGGGATTGGAAGGGAAAAGGAAAAAAGAAGAGGTAGGGATGAGGGAGTAAATGGAGGGAAATAAGAGGTTGGGGATTCGGAGAGAGGGAGGGTAAGGATCAGTGAAGTGAAGAGAGTTCTAGGATTCTAAGGGTGGGAGGGGGGGAGGATTAGGGATATGGAGGGAAGGAGGGAAAGGATGAAGAAGAAAAGGGGTTAGGAGAAGATAGCGGATTATAGGGAAAGAAGAGGGAGGACAAAAGGGAGGAGAGGGAGGGGAGAGGGCGGATTAGAGAGAGAGAGAGAAAGAGTGTGTGTGTGTGTGTGAGAGAGAAGAGAGAGAGAGAGAGAGAGAGAAGAGAGAGAGAGAGAGAGAGAGAGAGAGAGAGAGAGAGAGAGAGAGAGAGAGAGAGAGGAAGAGAGATTTGGAGGAAGGGAGGAGGGAAGGAGAACGCCAGGAAATAGAAAAGAAAAGAAAAGAACAACAAAAAAGAAAAACAAACAAACAAAAAACAGAGAAACAAACAAACATATGGAGGAAAGGAAGGTACACCACAAAACCACCGGATTTAGAATTTGAACTCGAATGGAGATTTGTCTCCTCCTCCCCCCCCCCCCTCCCCCTTTTCTTTTTTTTTTTTCTTTTAAATCTTTGGACGTGGTCATTTCTCGACTCCTGCCTTAATTGTTACCTTCCGAATTTAGGGGGAAAAAGTAGTAATGCTGTAGGGAAGGGATGCATTAAGGTCGATTTTCCTAGCTGGACGCCGGTGTTATGTTTGTCTTTGTGTGGGATTCTTGGTGTTGTTGTTTTCAGTGTTATCAACTTTTGTTTTCTTTTCTTTTCGTTTCTTGTGTTTTTTGTTGTTTTCGTTAGATTGTATTTATGCATTTTGTGATTTTATTTTTATTGTTGTGTATGTTTTTTGCTGTTGTTTATATCATCATTGCTGTTATTATCATCATCATCATGATAATAATTGTTATTATTGCTCTTATTATCGTCATCATCATCACATCTCATCGTCGTTATCATCACCATCCCCATTATTTTACATTCCCGCCGGGGCACACTGTAAATAGGAATTTGTTCAGAGGCGGTAACACGGCCGATGCTACACAGAACAAATATTTAGAATGCACAGTTGCATAATGCATGACTGAGCAACACACAGATGGAATGTACAACATATGACGATTGTTCAGAAAGGAAGGGCGTATATCGAGTGTTCAAAATGCACAACAGATATCCAGTGTTTCAGATTATACAACGACCTGTTTAGAGAGTACATATGTGCAGCCCAGAATTGTTGTTCAGAATCTACAACTGTACATAACACGCAACTTGTAGACCAGTGTTTCAGATTGTAAACCCAAAATTAGAGTTCAGAATGTACAGCTGTACAACCCAAAATTAGAGTTCAGAATGTACAGCTGTACAACCCAAAATTAGAGTTCAGAATGTACAGCTGTACGTAATACTGCTCAACGCGACCAGAAAGTCCATTTGCTGAATTACACACGAATACCACTATTTACCGAAGCGCGTATTTAATGCATTAAATTGTTGCTTCTGTGTAATTAACTTTTAAAATTATTTAGTTGGAGCGTTGACTCTCCCCTTCCCACCTCCCCTCCTCTCCCCCCTCCCCCTCTCTCCCTCCCTTCTGCTCCACGCTTCTCTTATTCCCTCTCCTCTCTCTCTCTCTCTATTTTTCTTTTCTTTTTTTTTCTCTTCTTTTATCCCCCTCGCCTCACTATCCCCTCCCCTCTGTCAAAAAAACGTATAACAGAAATAAAATAGAATAAAAATGGAATGGAATAAATAAAATAAAAATAAAAAACACTGGACGGTTCAATGCAGGGGTTACTATCCCTTGTGTTATTCGCGTCTCGTCAAGTTTACTGTGGGTTGGGGATAGGATAGGAGGGGAGGAGGGAAAGGGGATAGGGATAGGAAAGGGAAAGGGAGTGGGGAAAGAGGTAGGGGATAGGCGGCGAGAGGGAAAGGGGAGTTGGAGTGGGGGGATAGATAGGAGTGAGAAGGGAAAGGGAAAGGGGAAAGAGGTAGGGATATAGACGGGGGGGGGGAATAGGAGGAAGGGGAAGGGGAGTGGAGAAAGAGATAGGGTAGACGGGGGAAAGGAAGGAAAGAGGAAGGGGTTAGGAAAGTGGATGGAGAGAAGGGGAAAAATAAAGAGAAGGGGGAGGGAGAGGGGAAGAAGGATGGGGAAGTGGAAAGGGGGGAAGAAAGAGATAAGGGAAGGGAGTGGTAAGAAAGTGAAGGGAAAAGAGGAGAAAGAGAAAGAAGAGAATTAGAAAAGGGAGGAAGAGTGGAGAAGGAAAGGAAAGTAGGGAGCTAAAGAGAGGAAGAGGGAAGGAGAAGGAGGGGAAAAGAAGATAATAAGAAAGGGATGGAGAGACACTAAGAAGAGGGATGTGAGAGGAGGAAGGATGGAGGGAGAGGAGGAAAGGATGGAGGAAGAGGAAGAACAGAAAAAGAAAACGAAGAAGAAAATAAAGAAGAAGAAAATAAAAGAAAAAAGAAAAAAGAAAATAGATAAAAGAAGAAGGGGATCAGGAAGAGGAGGGGAGCAGGAAGAGGAGGGGAAGAGGAGGGGGAAGGGGGAGGAAAAGGGTTAAGACTAGGATTACAGTGGCTATTCTGCATTTACTGATTGCGCTATTGTGTTTTTGTCATTCCTTTGTGTACTCTTGATGATAATATTCTTTCTTCAAGTATAAAATTTGTATCGTAAAATCATCCATTTATTATTAGACTATTGTTGTGTGTCGTGTTGTTGTTATGTTGTTGTTCCTGTTGTTGTTGTTTGTTGTTTTGAATGCTGTTGTTGCAGATTTTGTAGCAACATAAGGAAAGAAAACGATTATAATTTCCTGTGACATCTGGCAGCGAGAGAACTGATCGGATTTAAAGGCGAGGGCAAATATAAACACTCATAAAAATCAATAACATTGTAATGGATCAATACAAAAAAAACAAAGAAAAAGTTTGAATTTTCTGTATCGAAATTTTTTCTCTCTCTTTGATATTTTTTATCTACTCATTTTATTAATTGATTAGTATTACTGTTATTGTCATTATGATTATTGTATTAAGGTTATTATTATATTATTATTATGTTATTATTATATTATCATTATTATACTATTATTCATTATTATTATTATTATTATTTGTTCGCTTATGTCAGTTCGAATGTTTATGAAGGCTGTCTGTTGTGCATGTGGTAGCGTGTGTATGGCTAATTGTGGTACGATGCAGTTGTTCACGTTGGTTGCACATCTTGGTTACTGTGTTCAAAGGATGGATTGTGGATGAGGGTACTTAGGAAAGCCTGTGTGTTGTGTGCGTGTGTACTCTTGCGGGATAAGGGAGTTCTGCAGCGTTCGTTATTGCACAGGACGCGGGCGACTCTTGGGCGATAAGAGGTCTGCGGTAGAGAGTTTTTTTTTTCGGCTCTCAAGTATAAAAATTTGTATCGTAATCATCGGTCATTTATTATTAGACTATTGTTTGTCGCTGTTGTTATTGTTGTTGTTCCTGTTGTTGTTGTTGTTTTGTAGATGCTGTTGTTGTGTTTGCGGATTTGTAGCAACATAAGGAAAGAAAAAGATTATAATTTCGTGTGACAGAGCGAGAGAACTGATCGGATTTAAAGGCGAGGCAAATATAAAATCAAAAATCAATAACATTTGTAATGGATCAATAAAAAAAAAAGAAAAGAGTTTGAGAATTTTCTGTATCGAAATTTTTTTTTTTTATTTTGATTTTTTTATTAACAATTAATTATTAATTATTTTATTATTATTGTCATATGATTGTTGTAATTATATTATTATCAATTATTATTATTATTATTATTATTATTATTATTATTATTTATTATAATTTTATCATTATTATTATTAATAGTATAATTATTATTATTATTATCTTGGTTCGCTTTTATGGTCCAGTTTCGAGATGTTATGAAGGCTGTCTGTTGTGCATGTGGTAGCGTGTGTATGGCTAATTGTGTACGATGCAGTTGTTCACGTTGGTTGCACATCTTGGTTACTGTGTTCAAAGGATGGATTGTGGATGAGGGTACTTCAGGAAAGCCTGTGTGTTGTGTGCGTGTGTACTCTTGCGGGATAAGGGAGTTCTGCAGCGTTCGTTATTGCACAGGACGCGGGCGGATGTGTGCTTGTGTTATGCGACATTTGGGCGCTATTGATGAGGTCTGGGTAGAGTGGAGTTCGGGCGATAACTTTGCATATTTCGAAAGGGGTGAACGAGGCGCTCGAGTCTCCCGAGGAGATGCGAGAGCGTGTTCGAACGAAGCCCGGACAGTGCTCGGAGCGTGGACCGAAAGCCCGAGGGCTGATGACGTCATGTGGGATCTGGACGCTTTTTTTTCGGGTGACGTCACGATCGGAACGCCCCCCCTCCCTCCCCCTTGTCCGGTCCCACCCCCCTCGCTCCCCGGGGACGAAGATCGGCGGGATTAGTCGGCATGTGCAGATCACGTGGCCATAATCGGGATTTTCTCTACAACACTCGGTCGGACTTTGTCAAGGGGGATTACTGCAACTGTAGCGGATTACAATTTTGCGGTTCGCTTTCCCCGGGCATGCGCGACTCTTTATTGTGTCTTCCCGGTGATGCATGTTCTCACGTTGATTTACGGCGCTCGTGATTAATTAGGTGTGTTATTACCCTCTCGCTAATTACGGGCTCCCTGCGCGCGCTCTCCCGCGGGCGCCCAATTTCCTTCGCGCGATGCTTGGGGCGGTTTCAGCCTTACTTTTCTAGGCCCTTTTCCTGAAGCAATATGTCATTTGATTAACCAGGTCTGAAAGAAACTATGAAACAAACTGAAACGAGCTTCTCTTGTTGTTGCAGACGCCGCGGGCACGCCACCGGACCCGGCCCCTCCCGAGGTCCCTATCCGGGGGCCCTCCCACCACCACCCGCTCCTGGCGGCGTCGCGTCGGGCGGGCGGCGCGCCCCCGGCCTCCAACAACACGGGCGTCGGAGGCCCCCCCTCGCCGCACTACCAGGACCACCTCCAGGACGACACGTACCAGCAGCCCAACTCGAACGTCTTCCTCTCTCAAGGTGAGTGAGCGGGTCTTAAGGCTGATCCTAAAGGCGGTTTCGGGCCCGGGGTTCGAGTCCGCCTTTGGGCTCGAGGCGCGGGCTTCGGGCGGGGTTAGTCCAGGCCCGGTGGGTCGGAGGAGCAGCTGATGCATTTTTTTTTTTTTTTTTCAAGTGATTTTTAAAACATCATATTATAGCACACACACACACACACACACACACACACACACACACACACACACACACACACACACACACACACACACACACACACACACACACACACACACACACACACACACACACACAAACCTTTTAAAGCTAAAAGATATACGACAAGATGCTTCCCTTTTCTCGAGTCGGTACATGTATATTTTCCTCAAAGTTTCTTATTTTTCTCTCGTTTGAGCAAGTCGTGTTGTTTTCTCTTCTTCCGTCTTCCAAAACTTGCAAGATTAAAGGCGTTCTTTTTATTTCTCGCAAAATTAACTTGTCAATCAGTTTATGGCTTATGTTTCAAAAGTAATTTTATAAGATGGGATATGAAGTAAAGAAAGGATAAGCAACAGATAACTAAAGATAAAAAAAGATAGAAAGAGTTTTGAAGAAGGATATTAATTTGCTTTTATTGGGGCCAACTATAAGAGAGGAAAAATGGATGAGAAGACAAAAATTAAAGTAAGAAACAGACAGAAAGATTAAAAAGAAAATTGTTTTTGAAGATATACACAGAGAAACTGGAAATGAAAGTTATATAATTCGAGCTGCACATTCGTAGTCAATTTATGATGACGGCTTGTCTAATTCCCTCTCGAGTTTTAGTCTTATTTGAAGAACAGCATAGGAAAAAAAAAAAAAAAAATCTTAATAAGAAATAGAAATATCCCCCCCCCAAAAAAAAAAAAAATCATGATAAAAATAAAAATATAAAGAATAAAAGCGCATTTATTCATTTATCGATATAAACCTACTTGTGAGTCAGAGAGGAACGGCTGAAAGAAAGACCTACTTTTAGCAAATATATTTCTTTCCCCTTCAAGACTGATTCGGAATATTAGAAAAGCTTGTTTTTTATTCTTATTCCTCCGACACGCAAACACACTCGCACGCACACAGGTACACACAGACGCACACGCTCTTAACCTCTGAACAAAGGCGTGAGTAAATCCACACACACACGCGTTCGCACACACGCTTACAAGCCTTTTAACAAAGACACGCACGCACGCACACAGGATAACGCATCTATTGTATGTGTAATACTAATATGAACTATTACGCACACGCACATGTAAAAGGAATGATATTGATGTATGAATTTAGAAGAAATTATATGAATAGATACACTCTTAGAAATTTAGATGAATGATATAGACGAATAGATGAATAGGTGAATAGAGGAGTAAATACGTGAATTAGTAAATTAATAGAAAAAGGGCGATACAAACGTACACAAATACGACATCTAAACATATTAATCCATAAATACAGAGAAAAAAAACGAAATAAAAAAAACATCCACATATATAAACACACAGGAAACAAAACACGAAAAAAACTAAAAACTAAAAAAAAAAAAGAAAAAAAACATCCACATATAAATACACACAAGAAACACAACACGAAAAAAACAAAATAAAATCCACATAAACAAAAGAAACAAAACACGTACAAACGAAAAAAAAAACATCCACACACACACAAACACAAGAACCAAGACAAATCAAAACAAAACAAAACACACAAGAACCAAAACAAAAACAACCCCAAAAAATAAACACCCCCCTCCCCTCCCCCCTGCCCGTCTCACCCAGAGAAAAAACAAAGACGGAACAGCAAGAACCGGAGAAGCGCGTCGGCAGAAAAAGACGACGCCAAAAACGGGAAGAGAAACAGCCGAGGAAGTGATGCAATACGCGATAACAAAGGGAATAACAAAGCGAGACGGCCTTCCGCTCCTGTAACGGGCGCGACTCCAGAACAAAACGGACCCAGCACATCAAAGGGCGTAATAGGTAACATAATAAAAGCAGTATGTGCGAGTTGGAAAGAAGCGGGGAGGGGGGGGAGGGGGCGCTTTGTAAGGGCGGGTGGGGTTGGGGGTGGGGTAGGAGGTAGACGTTGGGTAGATGAGGGGGGGAGGTATTTTGGGTAGATGAAGAGGAAATACTTTTGGGGTAGATGAGGGGGAGGTATTTTGAGGTAGGGGAGGTATTTTAGGGTAGAGGAGGGGTGGAGGTATTTTAGGATAGATGAGGGGAAAGTATTTTAGGGTAGATGAAGGAGGAGATACTTTTGGGGTAGATGAGGGGGGTATTTTAGGTAGATGATAGGTAGGTATTTTGGGTAGATGAAGGGTAGGTATTTTTGAGGTAGAAATGGGGAAGGTATTTTAGGGTAGAGATGGAGGTATTTTAGGGTAGATGAGGGGAGTATTTTAGGGTAGTTGAGGGGGAGGTTTTTGGGTATGAGGAGGAGGTATTTTGGGGTAGATGAAGGGTAGGTATTTGGGGTAGTTAATGAAGATATTTTGGGTTGATGGGTAGATACTTAAGTTGATAAGAGAGATATTTGGATAGATAAGGGTTAGACATTTTAGGTAGATGAGGGTTAGATATTTTGGGTAGATGAAGGGTTGATATTTTAGGTAGAGTTGTTGTTCACATCTGGTAGATGAGGGTAGATAGATGGGTAGATATTTAGATCGATGAGGGTTGACACTTTTGGGTAGATGAGGGCTAAATATTTTGGTAGATGAAGGATTGATAGTTGGGTAGATAAGGGGTAGATATTTTGGGTAGATGCCAAAGTAGGTGCTAGGGTAAGTGAAGGGTAAATTTTGGGTATGCCATAGGGTAGATGACTGTAGATGCGGGGTAGATATTTGAGGAGATTGCAAGGGTAGATGGTGAGATGAAATATTAAGTAGGTATGAAGGGTAGATAATTCGGGATATATCGGGTTGGTGTAGAGCTAAATATTCCTGATATGTCCCTTAGTATACCCATAAGTTTATATTTAAAGTAGATAAAGTAGATACTCGGCTAGATCTTTGGGTAGGTGAAGGGTAGATACAGCGTTGCGACTTTCAAGTAGAACTGTCCTTGTTGCGAAAGAGGGTGAGGCGAAGGTAGAGAAGGTAGGAAGAATAAGAAGAGGATGAGGGAAGAGGAGGGAGGGAGAGGAGAGAGAGGGATAGAGAGGAAGGTAGAGCAAGGAAGGAGGATAAGAGAGAGCAAGAGAGGAGGAGGATAAGAGAGAGAACAAGAGAGGAGGATGAGAGAGAGAGAGAGAGATGATGATGATGATGATGATGATGATGATGATGATAACCAAAATGATCACGTCAATGAAAAAAAGAAAAGAAAAACAAACAAAAATAAACGAAAGAGAGAGAAAGAGCGCGGCCGAAAGCGCGAGCGAAAAGGGGCAGACGGACAAACGAAGATAAAAAGGAGAGAGAGAGAGAGAGAGAGGAGAGACTAATGAGAAGCGTAGTCTTTAGAACCGCTTCCCCATTTTTACTGCTGTTTTAAAAAATAGCGGCAGATAAGCAAAATGCATGAGGGAAAAATGCCTTTAATTAGTGGAATGGCCTTAACATATCCTTCATTCTTCATTAGTCAGGAAGTATGTGATCTTACATACACATACTCATTTATGTGTGTATATTATATAGTATCATATATATTATATATATATAGATATTATAGATAAGAGAGAGAGAGAGAGAGAGAGAGAGAGAGAGAGAGAGAGAGAGAGAGAGACAGACAGACAGACAGACAGAGACAGACAGACAGACAGACAGACAGAGACACACACACACACACACACACACACACACACACACACACACACACACACACACACACACACACACACACACACACACACACACACACACACACACACACACACACACACACACACACACACACACACACACATATGTACATACATTTGTTATATATATATATATATATATATATATATATATAATATATATATATATACTCTTACTTGCAATATCACACACATCCTGCCTAATGAACAATGAAGGACATACAAAGGCCATTTCGTTAATTAAATAGATTTGTGTGTAAGCGCGTAAGGTTGCGTACATGTGTCTGTATGTGTAGGCATCTGTATATATGTGTATGTCTTCATGCATGAGCAAGACGATGGGGGAGAAAGGAGAGAAAGCGAAATAGGAAGAGAGAGAGAGAGAGAAGAGGAAGAAAGAGTGAATACAACACAAAGAGAGAAATATGAAAGATGGAAGAGTAATCAAGAGAGAGACGAAGCAAGAATGAGGAAAGAAGGAAAGAAAAGAGAAAATGAAAGGGAAAGCAATGCAGAGAGAGAGAGAGAGAAAGAGAGAGAGAGAGAGGAAGAGAGAAAGAGTGAGAAAAGAAGGAAGAAAGAAAGAAGGAAGCGAGAGAAAATAGATAGCAAAAGAAAGAGGTGGGGAAAGAGACAGCGAAGAGGAAACAAGAGAAAAAGAGCGAGCTGTCCCTCCTACTTCCCTAAAGACAGGTCCTCTGGGTAAGTCTCCCCATCTTGGTATTTAACGTTCATTTGCATACACTTGCTATGGTAATCAGGTGATACATAAAGTGTTGTAACAACCTAGTTTCTCGGCTTGTAGGTGGTTCTTTGTCATAACTGTTCATTTTTTGGGCTTTTAACTTCTTATCTTTTTGCGTTTACCTTCTTATTAACATTTTTTTTTTCTTTTCTTTTTTGTAATTTGTTCCGGTTTGTAGTATGTTCTGGATTTCGCGTACTCTGTTCTCGGCTTAAAGTACGTTCTCGTTGGCTGTAATGGAGTTCTTCGTTTCATAAATAGGTTTCTTTCCGTAATTTCATTTCTTTATTAAGTCTCCCCCCCAAAAAAAAAGGTATTCAGTTTTTCAAAATATGATATTAAATTTTTTGATTTTTGATATTGAATTTTCTCATTATTTTTTCATATAGAATTCTATCGTCTTTTAATATTTTATTTTTTCCTCCCCCCCCTTTTTTAAACACAATCCACCGTATTCCTCGTCTTTTTTACTAATTTACATTTTCTTTTCCCTCTCCCCCCCTTCCCCCATT